GTCTCAGCTACTTGGGGAGGCTGAGGCAGGAGACTCGCTTGAGCCCAGGAGTTGGAGGTTGCTGTGAGCTGTGATGCCACAGCACTCCACCCAGGGGGACAGCTTGAGGCTCTGTCTCAAAACAAACAAACAAACATAGAGAAAAATCTGGCAACCTAAAATGATATTAATATGGAATTATCATATCACCCAATCAATGTGGTGTCATACCTCCTTCCCTCCCTCTTAAATTACCCTTATGTTGATACCAAAGCAAGAGTTTAAGAGCTTACAGCAACTAAAATCTTAGACTGAATCAGAAGAGACTGCAGTAGGTTTAGAAAATACTTTGTAGGGAAAAACAAACCAACAAAACCAACAGATGTTAACCAAAGACTGCCAAATAGGTAAACATCTTAACCGCAAATTCAATTATAGGTCAACCGTTTTATAGGATCTTTTCTGTGTGTTTAATGTGGCAAGGGCCACCATGTGCCTTGACAGTAATATACATTTCTGTCTTCCCCACTTATCCTGCTCTTGGAGTTCCAGAAGGGCAAATATGAAATCACATCTATCCTGCCCATCATTATTAAACAAGTAAGATATTCCATGGTTTGCTGAACTGAAATGAATTTGTGAAACTGGCCACTCCAAACAAAGGGCCATGTTGGGGCTCTGAGCTTCAGTGTGGCTGGGCTTATTTTCTACATATTTTCCCAACATAGAGTTTTGAATTAAGAGGATTTGTTTACATGCTACAGCAGACATTTCAACCAAGCAAAACGATCTTCTTAATTGAATATTTAGGCCACAGAGAATGCAGACTAGGCAAAACTTGGTAGCTGTTAGGTAGATTTGAATCATTCTGCTTTGTGTAACTAGAACTAAATGCTGCCTCTGGTTGAGCCTTGGGCTAGGACTTTAAAGTCCTGGGATGCTAGTGTTTGCTCTGCCATTTGGCACTGCTGTCTCCTCCAACAACTATAAAACAGTGAAAAATCTATCCCACATTGCCTCTTCTTCAGAGCAATAACTAAAAGAATGATTCAGTGCCATTCAAATAGGTGCTCTTTGAAAGTTCATCTTTTTCCTAGATTTGAATTATTATAAAGTTAGGATTTTATTTTGGGGTGACAAAACAAAAAAACATTGTAGGGTGGTTTTACCTATAGCAATTTTTTTTCTCAGTCATTTATTTATCCTAAAGAATTCCCGGGTTAGTTGACAATACTGGGAGGGTAAAGCGAAGTACAGCCAAGAAAAGCGGAGACACTGGAAGATGATACGACCAAAGCCTTTGGAACAACAAACCAAAGCAGCTAATAAAGATATTTTTCCAAAACTTCAGCCCAGACTTCAAAAGACGCACAGATGGAAAATGCTTTTACACACAAAATTCTTTCTATAAAACAAGGCTGTGATGACTAAATGCTGAAATAATGAGTGGCGGTTGAAATTTCACTATTAAAAGAATTTAGCATCTTTTCAAATTGGTAGCAATGCATCATTTTAGTGACTCCAGTAATGTGACATCATAAAGTAAAATGGGATCCTTCAGATACTGTCAATGTTACAGTGACATATCCTGGTGATACAATAAGCAAATATTGAGAGATTCTTTTCTTTTTAAGAGAATGGGAATAATCATTACATAATATTTCCTGATTTAAAAAAATCCAAAGTAGTACAGAAGATAAATCCGTTTCATTGCAGTTAATCCTTGTAATAAAAATATTTGAGTTTTCACTGTGTTAAAACAGAAGATTTTGTAGGTCCGACGATGCACAAATTCTCTTATTATGCACGTAAATATTTTGAAGAGAACAGTCACAAGTCATATTTGAAGTGTTTTCTTTTACTATACGTTTATCGTGCTCCCTGCGCCCACCCCTACGCCCACCTCTCCATTTAACAAGTTTGTGTCAGGTAGCCAACCAAACTCAGGGGTCTCTGAAGGGAAAGATCAAGTGCGTTCATGTTTTCCATTGCTTTTCTTCTCTCGAGTGGAAACAACGAAGAGGATGGGGGAAAGACACCCACCGTCTCTCAATCAAGTAACAAAAGAACACATCAGCGTGAAGCTAATAACCAGATGACAGCTAATAACCAGAGACAGCTAACTCTTCCCCAGACGTCGTTGAGAAGCAGGACAGCTGAAATCCTTGTTAGAGACTTTTCTTGACGTGGCTCGGGGATTTAAATAGTTTCCCCAGACCTCCCTTGGGAATTATAAAACACCACTCATGCTTTCAGGTCACATAATTCACACCTCTACCGGACTGCAAGCTGCAATGAATTCCTGAAATGTTCCTGTGCGTTTTCGCTACTACAGAATATGAGGAAGGAAAAAGAAGAGAGAGAAAGAGAAAGGGGAGTGGGGGTGGACAGAGAGACAGAACGAGAGATCCGGCGCCACAGAGGAGGTCAGGCCACAAGCTGCTCCACGGAAAAGTTCCAGAACCCGTTTCCACTGGAAACTCGTCCCCGGGAGGAGTTGTGGCTGCGCGCTCTCCGCCCCGCGGCTGGGTCCCGGCTGAGAATACTTACTGGGCTGAGCCAACTTTGCTCTCTCTCTTCCCGAGCACTTTCGCAGGCTTTGTGTCTTCCACATCTTGCTGTAGTTCGGTCATCGGGGCCGTGTGCGGAGGTCACCTCGGGACCCCCGCGCTCCCGGATCCCTCTGCCCGTCGCGGCACCCCGAGCTCGGGGCGCAGGCCAAGCGAGCCACGCCGCGCCCAGCCCCGCGCCCAGCCCCAGGCTCAGACCGGTCCGCAGGGCAAGCATGGCCGAGAGCACCGCTGGCGCCGGGACCCAAACGTCCGAGCCCGCGCGATTGGTCCGACCCGGCGTGGAAAGGCCGGGAGGGAGGGAAGGGGAGGGTCAAAGTCAAGGGACAGCCTCCTTCCCCAAGCCGGCAGGCCGAGGAAGAGAAAATGGAAACCTGTTGAACTAGTCTTTCTGGGAGCGGAAGCTAATTGGCCAAGCAGGTGAAGCATTTGCCTAATAAGGGACAATATATTTAGCCTTCTGATAAACTGGGCTTTTTTTTTTCCTAGCTGACTGTAACAGGGGAATTTTTAAACAGGGCAGCCGGCTGTAGATGTAGGAAGTGGATGCGCCCGAGTGGGGCTTTCTCCCACACAGATGTATTGTGTGGGCTGATCTGTGCCCCATCCTAAATTATTCAAACAGGATATTGGCTCATTGAGGACTCCTTTCGTGCTTAAACAATAAGTCTGCTCAATTTTTTATGGGGGAGTAACAAAGGTAATAGGAAGTAGTTGCCTTTAGTGGTTGCCTGGTTAACCCTGCCTGCTAATATGGGGCCAGGGGTGGGGGAGCGAGGAAGCAATCATCAACATCTCATTAGCACCTTGCTTGCCGTGCGCCCAGCCAATACCATGAACGCCTCCTCTTCCCCCATTTTGCTGAGATTTTGACTTGCTGGTTCTGCCTACGGTTTTTCATTTGACGTATCTATTCACTCACTCCACAAAGTTTTGAGAGGCTTTGTTCTAAACATTGACTTGTTGTAGCAAATAATGTTTGTGTTGGTGGCTTACTAATTCTCCAGAGAGTAGTTAAGAGGAAGAAGAACTAGTATAAAACCTTATGGTCGGAAGCCTGTCTTTACTTTGGAACAATTACAAATGCAATAGTTGAGCACGACGTACCTGGGAAGAAATTACTAACTCCACTTTCCAAAGTTTCCTTACTCCCTGTCCATGTATATAATAATATATATGGGTGGCGCCTGTGGCTCAAAGGAGTAGGGCGCCAGCCCCATATACCGGAGGTGGCAGGTTCAAACCCAGCCTCAGCCAAAAACTGCAAAAAAAAATTATATATGTATCATGGTATGTATTTACCATTAGGCTGAGAAGGATCTTTCTGTAGCCTGCTTGCTCCAAAAGTGATTCTCATGACACTTGAAAAGTAAGTAAAAGAAAAAGAGTTTACATAAATTCCAAAGAGTTGGCCTGGCCAAGTCTCTCCCTTTTTATTTTCTTTCTGACCATTGATCTTCCTCCTGTGGAGGGGATCTGGGGTGCGTGGGGAGGGGGAGTGGGAAGGCTCTGAGTGGCCTGGAAGCTTGGAAGTTGTCTCTTTGGTGCCCATAGCTGTCTCTTCATGGGAACATTCCTGATACCTTCACCTCCAGGTCTCATTTTTAGATCCTCACTCTACTCAGGACAGGGGCAGACTTGGAATATAGATGAGGTTGTCAACCTCCCAAATTCTGAACTATGAATCTGTCCTGAAATCCTAGGTGCCCTCCAAGCCACCACTATGGAGGGTAGACAAGACTATTTTCCCCTAAGTAATTTTTTATTGTAGTAAAATATACATGACATAATAGTTATCATTATTGGTAAGTGTACAATTCAGTTGCATTAAATGCATTCACAGTGTTGCATAACCATCACCACTATCTATACCCCAGACTTCATGATTCTCAACATTAACTTCCCATTAAACAGCGGCTCCCACAACTCATTAAACAATAACTCCCTTTTCCATGCCTCATTCCAGCCATTGGTAAGTTCTATTCTGCCTTCTGTCTCTATGAATTTATGTTTTCTAGGCATATAATTGGAATCATATGGTGTTTTTCCTTTGCACCTGGCTTATTTCACTCAGCATAATGTTTTAAAGGTCCATCCCTGTTATGGCATAGATCAAAATTTTATTCCTTTTTTTGACTAAGTAGTATTCCCTTGTATAGATATACTACGTTTTGTTTATCCATTCATCTGCTGGTGGACATTTGGGTGGTTTCTACCCTTTGTCTATTGTGAATAGTCCTGCTGGGAACATGAGTGTACAGATGCTTACTTGAGTCCTGGCTTTCAATTCTGTTGGATATATGCCTAGGAGAAGACTTGTTGGGTCATATGGTAGCCTAGAAATTGTGGTCAGGGCTCTTTGGGTATGACTAATGGCAAGTGTTCAGAGTGACCTGGCATGGGCTTACAGCTCAATTAAAGAACACTTAGGGCTGGGTGCAGTGGCTCGTGCCTATAATCCTAGCACTCTGGGAGGCTTAAGCAGTAGGATTAATTGAGATAGGAGTCTGAGATCTGCCTTAGCAAGAGTGTGAGCCTGTCTTTACTAAAAGTAGACAAATTAGCTGGGCACCATGGCTTATGCCTATAGTCCCCACTACTTATGAGGCTGAGTCAGGAGAATGGCTTGAGCCCAGGAGTTTGAGGTTGCTGTGAGCTATCATGATACCATTGCACTCTAGCCTGGGCTCCAGAGAGAGACTCTTATCTCAAAAATAAAAAAAGCAGTCAGATACCCTGGACTGGTTCAAAGTTCTTTAGTGTATGGGAGGAGGCCATACGGTGGTGTGCTTTTTAAGTGAGTTTGAGCAGTTGCGGGGGAAGGCGGGGTAGATGGTGAAAAATAGCAGATGGCCTTTTCCTAGAGTGGGCGGAGTTAGAAAGGGGCAAGAACGCTGCATTTTTTTTTACCTACTGACATTTGCTTATGTTTAAAAGACACCTGTCAAACAGTTGTGTAATTTGTTTATTCTTGGAGCTATTACACAATAAAATGAAATACAGTATTTGAAAGGCATTAGCAGACAAACAATGGGGAAAGTATCATCCCTATGTGGTAAAGCAGAGATGTAAAATTATGCCTAAAATATATTTTAGGAGTCCCTTTGATATTGTACTTGTCCTCCTCTAAGCCTCTGTGAATCTAAATTTTTGCTTCTAATATCAAAAAAGGGTTCTGGTGATACTTTTTTTCCACTTACAGAAACAGCTTTGGTAGGAACTGCCTAACATTTCACCTTGAAGGAGGTAGGAGTTTCTATTCAAATAACTTAGGATATTGGTCAGGAGTTGGTTTCTTTTCCCCAGGGATCAGATTATACTGTGTGTCTGTCCATAGTCTTGGGGGCAAAGTCCAAATAGTGAGTTTGGAGATTTGAGTGGAAAAATTTGTTTGCAATGTATGGCCAGGTGGGCTCGGCACCTGTGGCTCGAGCGGCTAAGGCGCCAGCCACATACACCTAAGGTGGCGAGTTCGAATCCCCAGCC